AAGGACTATCAGAGGTGACTATTAACGTGATAGTTTTGGTGGACCCGCCATCCTACTTGAAGAGGATTGGTGGGGGAATTTGGAGGAAAATGACTATCAGAGGTGACGGTTAACGTGATAGTTTTGGTGGACCCTCCATCCTACTAAAGAGGGTTGGCTTCAGCAGCCGTAGTATCTTCCGGTTCTGACTGGGAAGAGTGAGCTTGGTCCGATTGCGTTTGGATTATTTTGCTCGATGTACCAGTCTCGTGTTGTGGATTTCTAATTGTTGATTTTATTTAGATTATTTATCTTTAGTTCGGTATTACTGTTTAGATGTTTAGAATTCGAGACATATGGTATATACATGAGGGTTTCCTTGTTTGGATTATTTTGCACGACGTACTACGTCTCGTATTATAGGTGACTAAATATTAATTCTATTAGATATGGGGAAAATGATCTAAATAGATTATGCTTAATAGATAGAACCTCCACTCCATCTAGCAGCCCTTTTTCTGGGGGCAGATGGAGGTGATCTTGCGATAGCGCTCTGACGCTCTTGTTGTTGCTCTTTTTCTTCTAATATTCTTTTAGGTAATTCGGAGTACCGGAGAGTCGCATGATGACAGAGTTCTTGCATAGTCGCCGTCACATGAGATTTATTAGAGGCTTCACCATAGTTTTATATTTTTGTTCAGACCTTAGAGTTTATTTTATAATGTAAAGGCAGTGTGTCTTAGTATGATTTTCAGTTATTTCTTATCCAGACATATTTATTCATTTTGGATATCAGATATATTCCAGATTGTTCATTGAGACATGATTTATTTATGAGATGTTTTTTTTCTATATCATGTCTATTGTAGTTATTTCCTTTCTTTTGTCTGTTTTGTACCTGCACTTTATTTTGATTCACTAGAGGCTATTGCTGTGATTGGTAAAACTGTTGGATTTAATCTAATAAATCTATTTGTGGGCACATATGATTAATCAATGTGTATTGCTATCTTTCAGGATAACCCACTAAAGTGATCAATTAATTTGGGTTAATTGGGTATTTAAATAAGTCATGGGGTTATATGTGCAGATACCAGGTTGTAATTATAATTTATTGAGGGGCTAAATTATAAAAGTACAACATCTATAAATAAGGGGTTATGGTCCCTAACCTAGGGTTACATTCTCTAATTCTCTTCACCCCCATCTAAAAAGAGAAATTCGGATCTAGAGAGAACCCTAAGGTTAGAAGATCAAAACCCATCTCAAGATCAAGCAATGGATTCAGGTATAAGCTTCTGCTCTTTTAGATTCTTGTTAATCTCTTTGAATTAATCATGGCTATATGGTTTTAGATCTCAAGTTTTGATTTAAATCTAACAAAAACTTGTTACACAGTGTGAGTGCATGATAGGTTTGACATCTCTGGGTTCATCTTAGACTGTAGTCATGTGTGAAAATAGGGGCGTCACACTGAAGGATGGGTTTAGAAAACTTCCCCAAAAATAAGGAGATATAGAGATATGAAGATAACCTCCAACAATCGAAATCGGTATCCTTCTCTTGTAAAACTCTTTTTTACATAAACAACCACACTTGATTTTCTCAAACCATGGAGCCAAAATGGCGAAACAAACTTCTCACAAACAAGGAACACAATGGCAAAAATATCATATCATCAGATTGGTTTTTGGGGTCTATTTATAGCCTCAAAACAAAAACAAGACAAAACTAGCTGTTATAGTAAAAAAAGAGCAGATCAGTCGACTAGTTGGTTTTATCGGTTGACTGGTCAACTAGCCGTTATAGTAACAAAAATAAGTTTCGGTCGACTGATCAATTGTATCGGTCGACTGATCGACCATATATACATGATGCGGTAAAAAATATTTCTGGCTGGTCGACTGTATAAGATGGTCGGTCGACTGAAAACTGATACACAACTGATACTTGAACACTGAAGAGAAAATAAAAAACAACTCCAAAAATAATAAAACTTAGGGAAATGTTTACATATATAAAAAATAAGTATGTTAGAAAAGGAATTTCTAAAATAGCACTTCCCAAATGTGAAAACTCATTGTTTTGCAAAATGGTCAAAAATACGAGTTTGTTAAACACTTGATTTTGATGAAACTATTTCAAACAAATTTTAAGATACTTTTAAATAGATTAATAGACTTTAGAAAAGATGTAAAACAATATCATTAAGTCAATAATCCAAAAACATGATATATTCCCATTAATAGACTTTAGAAAAGATGTAAAACAATATCATTAAGTCAATAATCCAAAAACATGATATATTCCCAAATAGATATATAATACGATAAACAACATGATATATTCCCAAATAGATATATAATACGATAAACCGAAATAACGTGTACGTGTATGGTTTGAGTTTTAAGTATAAACACATAAAGTAGAAACCTAAAAACACTATACCCAAACAAATAATCTTTGTTAATCTCGATCTTGATAGCGGGGATGAAGCGATAGTGTGTCTTTGACTTGAATGACATCGCGCTTCATTCCGATTTCCTCCAACCTCCATGAATATCATTGTTAAAGCTCAAGTTCATCCAATCTCCAACCTGAGGATGCTTGTCTAGGATACCTAGCAAGCAAACACAAATACTAGGAGACGGTGTTAGGAATTATTTGTTAATCATCAAAATCAGATTAGACAATAGGCTCATAAACATGAGACCTAACACTAAAGTGGTGAGGATGAAAAATACTGCTACTAATAGGAAGTGATGCAAGGCAATGTGTATTTACCCTATTTTTGAGTCATTGAAGAGTTTATGATACTGTCTGCTTTGAGTCTGTACAAGACACACACACAGAGATACACTTGTTTTTTTGTTTTTTTTTTCTCTACGGTTCTTTGTTTGTTTTTCTCTTTTGCTGAGTTTTGAGTCTTATGTTATGTGAAGAACTTTGAGTGTATGGAGAGCATTAACTCCTTTCCTACAGGTTGATAATGGAAAATCTGCTTTCTTACCCGAAAAAAAAAAGAGCTTTCGTTAACCCTAAAATCAAAAAGTTTTTCCCCCCTTTAAAGAAATTAAAAGCCCTGTTAGGAGCGTAAAGGCTAATCTCTCTAGTGATGGTTTAGCGACTAAGCATCCACGTGGCAGAAATAATGATTGCAACTTTACAGGTTTTCTTTTGGCTTTTTATGCGAAGGAAAACCGTATGCTATACTCTCCACCAACCCATGCAGGTAAGGACAATGCTGTAATATTATCCTGCTAAGCAATTAATTAATTGCCAATTATAATTAATTAATTATCTCTCCAATAGTACAAACTAATTACAGAAGGTAAACACAATTTGGTGTACGTAGCATATTAATTATTTGCTTCTTACAAATTATTATTTAGTATTTTCGATCTATATACCTCTTACTTCGTAACATGTGAAATGCAAGGGAATTTCTATCATTGATAAAACATAGGGAAGTCATATAGGCTAATTTTATTTTTATTTTTCTGAGGAAAAAGTTGCCCACGGTCACCTCTTCTTTGGAAAGTGCTTCTTGGATTAATAGTTGATTCTCTGTGTAAATAAAGCAACATGGACAAAAGGGAGTACAAATAAATAAAATAAATAAATATATAGAAAGAATAGGAGCCGCAGTTTGAGTGCTTGTAGATACTTGATAAATAACGGCCAAATTATGGCTTCTCCAGTTGTTCTAAGATAGAGCCTCTAACGAGTTTCCTCTACTTTTCGTTCTCCTATATATACCCTTTACACTTCACGAAAATTACTAAAAGTAGTAGTATTTTGCATTTAAATACCCTAAAACACATTTTTAATTAGATAAATAATAAGTTAAGAATCGATCTTATGGCACTCATAGGAAGAATGATAAACACAACAATTCACATTTCACCAGTTCACTTAATCATGTTAAGCGTCTCATGGCGTTGGTTCTGCAAAATATTTAAACTCTGGGCTAATTTTTCTTCAAAAAACCCAAAAATCGATGAAAGTTTTGTTAATTAGGAGCTAATTTTCTTGGCCTATATATCAACACTAGAGATATATATGCTATTTCTTGTATCATAACCATCTATTAATATATGTTCATGATTATGATTTACTCTAAATATAACCAGCACTCATCTTCATCCGTCTTAATTTCTCAAATCTTAACAATTTTTTTACAAATTACACGATTAATCATTATTATAAAATAAGTGATAGTCATTCCGTCTATCTACAAATAACCAGCTATATATGTTGGGCCCCACTTAGAGAATCCAAACCCCATCAGTATGTCCCGTATATTAGTCATAATCGTACATACTAGTGCTCAAAACATCCGGCTCGCATGCGAAATGTCTCGATAAGACCAAACAGATGATAACTTTACCGTCTATATACAAATAATTGGGCATCTTGGGATCCCACTCATTGAATATAAATTATATTAGAACGTTACGCTTACGAACGCATAGAGCAATCAAACTCTTCAAACTATACATTTAGATCATCATGCTCGCATGCAGAGTGTCCTGATAAGATTTCCGACTCCGCATTATATAAGGATAATTTGGGCATATTATAAATATATAATATTCCGGTCCGTTTTTTGTCCCTGACCTCAATAACGGCATACTGTCTTATGATTGTATTTTGGTCTCTTCCTTCTACCTTCAAACAAATCACCCACACACCACTTCCATCCTTTTAAAAACGCCCCTCTTCTCCTTTTCTCAAGTAAGTATTCATCCTCCTCCTCCTCCTAAATCTCACCATCTAATATTCTTTTCTTTAATAAACTTAATTAATTTAATTTAAGTTTTTAGCTAGACTCGATGTCTGACGAAGGAGGAGCCAACGGAGCCAAGGCGAGCTTCCTATGTCCGGAGTCTGATCAGCCGTGGAGCTTCTCAAACTTCGATAACTCTGGTAGTGATCATCAAAACATAGTAGTGTTGGGGTCAAAACCTAATAGTCCTATAGTTGGGCTTAAAATAGATGGAGATCAAGAGAAGACAGAGGGTAAGATTAATGGTTCTTCCTCGTCGAAAGGAAAAGGAGAAGCTTCTGATGACCATGAGATGCATATATTGACAGAGAGGGAGAGGAGGAAGAAGATGAGAAACATGTTTTCTAATCTTCATGAGCTCATCCCTCATCTCCCTTCAAAGGTATATTGTTTACTTTTTTTTTTCTTTTGCTTCTTTTTCCTTTTTTTGCTTTATTACATTTCGTTTTGTTATGTTCCAAGAGTTAATGGGTTTTTGTTAAAATTGAGCAAGTTAGTGTTTCAATTTTTTTTTTTTTTTTTTGGTAGGGGGATGCATTGAAGGGTTTCCTAGAGTAGACTGTGTGCTTTTAGCCATTTTTGGTAGATGACTAAGAAAATGTATTCTGTTTAGATTTAGAATTTCCAAAATTGGATTGGATAGCTTTGCAAGGATGAGATGTTATTTTAGGGTTCAATAAACTTTTATTTAGAATAATAGATTCAAGGGTTTCCCATTTTAAAACAAGTAGTTTCAAGACAATTTTCGGCAGATGACTTTGGAAATGTCTTATTTAGTTTTTAATTTTCTAAAATTGGACTATCTAGGGTTTCAATAAGTGAGATGTTAAAGTGTTCAATGAACTTTTATTTCTTTTCCCCCCTTTTTTTGGGGTGCATTCAAAGTTTCCTATTTAAGACATGTACCTTTTAACCATTTTGGTAGATGACTAGGAAATTAAATGCATTATTAATTTATTTCCAAAATTGTACTTGGGTTTCAATATATTTCCCATTTCTGATTCAGCCATGTTCATGCACCCTGAAGTAGCCAAATTTTGGTAGATGGAAGGTAGGAGGAGGGATCAAGGAGGGGGAGGGGGAGAGAGAGAGAGAGAGAGAGAGAGAGAGAGAGAGAGAGAGAGAGAGAGAGAGAGGGAGAGAGAGAGAGAGAGAGAGAGGTGCAGTCAAAGCCATTTGATGCTAAAACTAATTAGTTAGTGTCTCATGCCATCTATTCTTGATTATATACAAGTACTAACATTAACTAATGTTGCTGCAAAAGGTAAATCTAGAAAATCAATATCCAATGTATATGCTTCTTATCTCATGTTTACCTAAACAAATGACATATGTTGATGATTAAAATAATTTTTGAAAAGCCATCACACAATTATCTCATAATCTTACAACAATAATTTTACATAGACATGGTTATATATGAACTTAACAAATTCATCTTTCCTATATATATATATAGGCAGACAAATCAACCATCGTGGATGAAGCAGTGACCTACATAAAATCCCTTCAACAAACCCTTCAAAACCTTCAACAACAAAAGCTAGAGAGAATGCAAGTACAAGCATCATCTTCATCTTCATTATTCCCTCCAGTATTGCGAACTCCTCAATCACAAGCAATCAACAACTCAAGGGAGTCATTCTTAGCTACTGCGCCAATGTCACCAACTTTAATGCCAATGCCCCGACTCTCCAACTCTTTTCAGGCATGGTCAACCGATAATGCAATGCTCAATGTGAGCGGTGAACATGCGCATATTAGCATTAGCACTGTGAAGAAGCCAGGGACTCTAGCTAACATTTTTTATATAATGGAGAAATACAAACTTGAGGTGCTACTTTGCACTGTGTCTTCTGATTATTTCAGAAGCATGTACATGATCCATGCCCGTGTAAGTATTGCTAACTAACATTCTCTTCAATTATCTCCCGCCTCATGATTGTTTTCTGTTTAATGTTGCACATATATTTTATTTGATTGAATGTTTGCATATGTATGTAGATGCCAAAAGGGTTGGAATTATAATGGAAAGAATTGAAACTTTAGGATCATATATTAACTTTTGTAAATTTGCATATGTATTTCTTAGTTTGCTATTGTTGTTGTGTATATAGTACAGCTAGCTAGTATAGGAAGCTAAGATGTTAATAATATAATGCCGTATTAAACGGAACATGTAACGTTATCTTTTTCTCTTTTATAACTATGTTGTGCTTGTTTTGTATCCATGTTCTACACCTACAGATGCGAAGAGAGGTGCAATATGCAAAAAAAAAAAAAAATCCTTCTAGTCTAGGTACATGCATACTCTCTTTCATTAAATTTGCATATGTAAGTAATATGATTATGTATTGAATACTTAGGATTAAGACGATTTACTTACATGTATGATCCATTCACATAAGTACTGCATTATATTAATAGAACACTCTCTTTATCCATCTTTTGCATATAGTAGTTTTTACCCATGTTTTATAATTTCTTTCTAATGATCTTTCATCTAGATGTAGTTAATTTAGTAGTACGTAATTTTCTACACGATAGATACTAAGAAGCTGAAAAGAATTAGAAAAATCAAATGGTTTGGATACATGCGCATATATTATATTTTTATTAAACTCATATGTATTTTATGGATTGTAATACATGATACAAGATAAAATTTTTATATTGTTTATATTAATTTATGACGTATACTTCTAAAGTCTAATAAGTTTTTGCATAATTGCTACTAATTTGAATAATTTCTGCAACCCTTAAACAAGATAGCATATAGTTCATAGCATACATTTGCATATAAAATTTTAATATAATATCATTCTCTGATTGTTGGAAATTGTGGTTAAATCTAGAATGAAACAGAGAAATTTTAATGTGCTGTAATTTTAAACTTTTTTAGGTTAACTGTTGTGTGTTTGTGAAACGCTGTGCTTAAAGCAATATTTGACCTAAACGGGCGAACCTCGTCGAATGGGCAAACCTCATCAAACAAGCGAACCTCATCGAACGAGTGAACCTCATCGAACAAACGAACCTCGTCGAATGAGCAAACCTCGTCAAACAGGCAAACCTCGTCGAACGAGTGAACCTCGTCAAATAGGCGAACCTCGTCAACCAATTGACGAACCTCGTCTGTTTGCGAGAATGCTAAGGTCACACCCTCATGCGAATCATAGCTCGTCTGCATGCTGAGAAGCAGCCTACGAGGCAAACTTCGTTGTAGCTAATGTGGCGCCAAAGAGCGCCACCTCGCCCTGATGCATCCGTACGAAGTGCAAAGTGCACCTAACAAAGCTTCACTTAGCGCCTCAGCCCGATTAGCCCCGATCCCCAGCCTATTGGCCCACGGCACACTGCCCACGAGCCCACGGGCTCATGGTACACGGCCCACGACCCATTAGAACTTATGAGAGATTAATTAAAATAAAACACTTCTCGGCTTGCTGTTGGCAAGCCTCGAACAGAGGACCTTTTAAAACACTAAAACTTTAACTTTCCACTAGGCTACTAAGCATTTATGAAAAATACTTGTAGTTTATATATATATATATATATATATATATATATATTGAAAACTCATTTTGGAAAGCGGTTTTGACCAAAAAAATCTAACAATCCCCCATAAGTTTTTAAACTAGTGTCATATAATGGTGTCGTTGTTTCAATCATTGTGCATAAGGTAGATGTAAGGACTTGAATCCCCTTTAGACCAACTAAATAAAATATAGATGTATGGTATCACAGAGACTTGAACTAGCACATGTCTAAAATCTAGACACAAGATCAAACTCATCTGTGGTGGCTTTCACTTTGAACCACACTTGTCTTTGCTTTTGCCTTGCACATTTATGGCCATGTGCATGTCCTGATTTCTGCTAGGACTCTATGTATCTTTTCACAATACACCATAGGAGACGGCCAAATCTTCATTCATGCATAGGTGAGTTTTTTAGGCATGTTTCCTATTAATCATCCCGCATTCGAAATGCTTTGAACTCATTAAAGCTTAAGAGTCATCCTCTCTCATGATAGGATTCTAGGTGGGTCCTTTAGGTGTGTTTCCTATCTAACACCCCGCATCCGAAATGTTTTGGACTCATTAAAGCTTAACAGCCACCCATTTACATGATATGATCATCGGTGAGTCCTATATGCATGTTACCTATCTAACATCCCGCATCTGAAATACTTTGGACTCATTAAGGCTTAACAGGTAGTCTCTTTATAATTTTACTTGTAAAAATCTTACTTGACTTTTGAACCAGTCATCTTATTATTAGTAGCGTAAGCTTTGAACTAATAATTTGATGTGAATGGTAAGTGTTTGTAAAACTCACCAAACCTTGCAAATCTTACTTGACTTTTGAACCAGTTATCTCATTATTAGTAGTGTAGGCTTTGAACTAATAGTTTGATGAACATGGTAAGTATTTGTAAGACTCACAAAACTTTGAGAACTATTACAGCAGACGTCCTTTCGACTATGTTCTTTTTTAGATCTTTAGTCAAAGGATTAGCCACATTCTCTAAAGACTAAACGTCAATCATCGAGATGACTCCTTAGCAAATGAGTTCTCTCAAATAGTCATACTTCAGACGAATAATCCGCTTCTTTCCATTGAATAACGAGTTCACTGCTATAGTACCCGTCGCCTGATTATCATAATAGATAGTAATTGTGCCTTGTAATTCTGTCAATGGAAGGTCTCAGAGAATACAACTGAGACACTTAGCTTCATCTCTTGCAGCATAGAGTACGAAGAACTCAGATTCCATCGATTACTGTGAAATCATAGTTTGCTTCTTAGATTTTCACGAGATGGCAGCTTCACCCATGGTGAAGACAAAACCTTCAGTAGATCTGTACTCATCTGGTTCTAAGCACCAGCTCGCATCTGAATAGCTTTCGATTATAGCCGGATATCCAGTGTAGAATAGGCCCAGATGCTTGTTGGTGTAAGCATCTGTCAGATGATAAGTCAGACAGTTAGGAAGATAACTCATGCAGAAATAATCATCTTTAGCCCAAAAGGCTTCAGACTCAGAGTCTACTTCAAAGTCAGGTTTCTCCTCAGAAACCACATAGTAGATTTTTAAGAGTTGCATCCTGAAAATCACTTTTCGACGTCATGCGTTAAAGTTGGATCTGTTAAAATTCTCTAACTTGAGACAGTCCACTCCAAGAGTCCTCGCAGGATCCATTGTAGATCAAAAATATTTTTTAAAAATTGTTGGAAATTATGGTTAAATCTAAAACAGAGAAATTTTGATGTGCTATAAGTTTAAACTTTTTTCGGTTAACTACTGTGCGTTTGTAAAACACTATGTTTAAAGCAATATTTAGCCTACTCTAGTGCAAGGATCTGTTTTGGTGGAAAGTTGATTCTTTTATTAGTGGACTAATTATAACTTCAGTCATTACAATGAACTTAAAAAAATTAGTCTTTTTATAAGACCTTTCTTACACAAATAAAAACAAAAGATTATAACTCTCTTAAAACAAACGCAACGGACATTTATTACCCGCTGCTTGCGTAGGATCTTGGCATGTGCCGGGGTTTATCCGTGGACTACTAACTCATCTGATCCAAATATAAGTTTTGTTGCTGTAGGTTATCTAAAAATTTCACTGTAGATAGTTTATCCCATCAAACACTAATGATGAAAGTTATAATTTGACGGCTTCCAGAAGGCTACAATTTAAAGACTTTCACGTAGATCGATGAAGGTTATAATCTGATAACCTTCACAACAACTGATGAAAGCTCTATTCAACAGCCTTCACAATCAACATTGGGAGTTATAATCTGACGACTCTCATATTTTTAAGGAGCCAAGACGATGGTTACAAGATGATGATCTTTGCAACGCTCTAGCAAAAGAAACTATAAATTGACGGTCTCTTCAAATCAAGACGCAAAGCTCATTTCTGTGTCTCAAACTCAAAACACAGAGGTCCTCCCTGCGTTACAACATCAAAACGCAGAGGTTCTCCCTGTGTTGTAACATCAAAACACAGAGGTTATCCATGTGTTACAATATCAAAATGCAGGGTTCATCCCCAGCGTTCAAGTCCAAAGGTAGAGCTCGTGGCCACGTTCCCAGAACAAAACGCACGGGTCAGACCTGCGTTGCAACATCAAAACACGTGGGTCGAACCTCCGTTGCAACGTCAAAACGCAGAGTGACCTGTGCATTCTCAGCCATCAAAATAGGCTCAACTCTACGTTTCAAGTCTAAAATGTAGAGTTCGGGCCAAGAACGTCATTTTTGGTGTTTGACTCGTTCAAGCTCGAGCTGAACGGTTCCAGAAACCGTTTTCCCCCACAATTAGACGGATTTCCGCCCCACTTAGGAGCGGATTAAGGGGGAACAGTTACACCCCTAAATCCCTTTATAAATATTGGAAAAATCAACTGAGTTAAGAACTCTCTCTTTTTGGATCGCTGGCTTTTTGGGAGAATTGCTAGAACTTTAAAGATTGATGACAGGAGCTTTCTTCATCCTTAGCTTATAAACCAATTTCAGTTAAATCAACTCTTTCATAGAGTTTCAAACTCGTTCAGAGTTATCAACTCATCAAGAGTTAATTCAAAGTTACTTTACAAGTTCTCCACAGCATCAAATCGTGAGGAGAATATAACATTCCAGTGAAGCGAAACATCGGATTGTCAACGGAGAGCAAACTCAACGCGAGCATTCGAGGGAGGCACTCCACCGTCACCGTGAAGAACCCAGAATTAAACAAAGGGGATGATTTACATCAATTCTCTTCTCTTTTGTAATTAGGAAATTCAAATTGTATTCGAGGTTGAGAGAGTTGTAAACATTCTTTCTCTAAATCAGTTAGAGGGAATAAAACATTCATTTCTTTTATTTTCTCATTGCAAATTTTCCACCAAACAGTTGTCTCACAAAGGAGACAAGAAACTAAAGTGA